TTGGGAGCTCCAAGATACCGTGGTGTGTCTGGGGTCAAAGCTCTCAGGTGTTCTGGGGTCTCCTGGGGCCCCCCTGCCCCCGCCCCCTCCTGAGCGCGTGGCGCGATGCGACAGCAATGGGGTTTCTAAGACATCGGCTGGGAGGGGGTTCGGAGGGCGAAATCAGCAACGCTTGGGCTCCATTCTACGCAAACTATAGGCGGCTCAGATGCGCGGCGCGCGCGCGGCTGAAATGGGGAAGACGCCAATGACTAGGGCGGGGGGGGCCTTCCGCGCTTCTGTAAGCCGAAAGGGGCTGGGTGATTCACCAACGCATCCGCCGTCAATACATGAGGCTTGCGCATGAGACACCCTCGCAATTGGCAGCAATCGCTGGCGCGCGCGGTGGGTCGCTCGTTAGGTGTAAGCATGGCCGCGCGTTCTCCGGCAACTCCTCCTCGGTTCCCCTCCCCCTCCTTCTCCTGCCCTCCCCCTTCCCCCCCCTCCCCCCGCCCTCCCGCGCGCCCTCCCGAAATGAGGCTTCTCTCGCGCGATGCGCCCGCGTGCTTTGCAGACGCGGGCGGGCCCTGCCCCGACGAGCCCTCGACTCGTGACAATGCATTAAACTAGTTGTTGGATTCGTCCTACCTGGGCGCAGAACCAAACGGCCTACCGCAGACCGACTGACTCATTTAATGTTGCACGGCGCAGGCTTCTTGATTTCGCGCCGGCATCAGTGCCCTTCCGTCGGCGCCGCCCTCGCCCGCCCCGCTCTCCGCCAATGCGATTATAGCGGGTTCTTCTTGATGCCCCTCACTTGCTGCTCATCGCTGCCCCCCCCCCCCCCCCCCCCCCCCGCAATTCAAGCAGCGAGCGCAGCGCCCATCCAGCGAGCGATGTGAGGCGCGCATATCTTCGCACTCTAACGCTGGCGCACATTAGATATACGAGCTCTGCGCAACACCGCAATGTCCACCCTGTCTCGCCCCGCCCTTTGTCCCTGTTCTTTAATAAACATTGCGCTAGTCGCCGCCTCGCATTACTATATGCGTTGGTCAAGCTTAGCAAAACTGTTTATGTGGTCGCATCAAGCTGCGCAAACAAAAATCAGTCCCACGTGGGTGTGTTTTATGATTATCACTAAACATGCATACTGCCGCATGCCTGCCCGCCGAATGCCGCCATGGCTGCGCCCGCTATCCTTGCATATTGAAACTACATGCAAGCGGTTCAGTGCTACTAGCATTGGGTAGTGGCGGGGTGCCCGCATGGCGGCGCTGTGCCACTCTGCTCCTACGGCATGCTATTACTTGTTGTACAGTGCCACTAGCATTCAATTTTTCATGTTACAACCTCCCCACCCGCCACGCCCCGCCCCCTTGCGCCGCGAGGTGCAGGCGGCGATGGGTGGCGCAGCCGTCGCGGCATCCAGAGAGGCGCTGGCCGACTGCGCCGGCGCCAGAGGAGCTCGGGCGCGATTTCGGGCGGCGCAGCCGTCGCCGCCCGTTGCAGACGCCCAAGGCAGCCCGCCACTACCCGCCACTAACCCAGCGGGCGCCCAGGGCCGACCGTCACTACCCGTCATCATTTTTTCCAACACACGACGTGCCCGTCACTAGTCGCCATCACTTTTCGACTGCCCAGGCAGCGCCCCTCAATGGTCGTCATTACTTTTCGACGGCCGAGCAAATCGCCGTTCTTAGTGGTTACTCGGTTTTCACTACCCGTTACTGTGTTTCCACTACGCGTTATCTGTCGTTACGATGTTTACACTACCCGTTATTTTGTTTCATTATGTTTAATTATGTGCTCACTCGCCACTACATCTTCTTTACCGGCAATAAGTGTTCACTATTTTTCACTACCTTTTCATTGCTGTCGTCATTATGTTTTCACTAACCGTTACTATGTTTTCACTACCCGTTATCATGTTTTCACTAACCGCTATTGTGGTTTCACTGACCTTTCTAATGTTTTCACTACCAGTTACCACCCGCTGCTATGTTTTTCACCACCCGCTGTTGCTTTTTCATTGCGGGCCCACAACCGTCATTGACCGCCAGTACTTTTCCAGGCGCGGCGACGGGCAGTCACTATGCTCAGCCGACGGCGTCGTCGTCACTAGTGCGCTGTGACTACCTTGGTGGCGCGACTAGTCTCCGGGTTTTGGTGACTAGTGCCTGGCAGCTGGCCTGGCGAAGCGGTTCGTGCCGGGGGGGGGGGGGGGGGGGGGGGGGGGGGGGGCTGGCGCGCGTGCGCCGCTTGGGTACTGTTCGGGGCACCCCTGGTCCCCGCGCGCCAGTGCCAATCTGTCCTAGGCACTGCGCTTGCGCGACGCAGAGGGCGCCCCTGCGTCGAATTTTGCACAGGCCCCCCCCCCGCCCCCCCCTTCCAAACAACCTCCGCTCGACATCGCCTGGGATTTCTTTATATATATATATATTATATATATATATATATATATATATATATTAAATAAAAAAAATTGCGTCCGCGATTGACGCATGCATGCGCCCAATATTAGGCCACGAGCGCGCGTTCAGAATGCAACCGTCGGCTACCCCGCGCACCCGAGGGGTTGCCGAGGGGCTACGTGCACCCGCTTGGTTGCGTGGGAATTACGCTCGCCCGAAGGGGTTCATGAGGGCCCCCGACGGTTCCCGTGGATTCTGGCGGGCCCAGAAGATTATTGAAAATAGTTTGGGCTCCTCTGGGGTTGCAGAGATTTCCTCAGGATGCCGGGGGGCCCTGAGGATTCCTGGACCCCTTGGGGTTCCTTCGGATTCGCGCAGGTGGCTGGGGGCCCCCTCAGGATTCGTGAAGGTTGGTTGGGTGTCGTGCGTATTGACGGGGGCGCGCGATGATTTCGAAGGGTTGCGAAGGACTCCTCGGGCTTGGGGTTCCACGCGGTGTCCAGGAGGCCCAGGGTCCCGACGAGGATCCGAAACGATTCAACATGGCACTTGGTGAGTTCCAATTGAGGTGTCATGCGGTGCCATTTTGGCGCATGCTGGCCCCTTCGGGTCACCGCGGTTTTCCCTCGTATTCCTGGTGGTGCATATTGGAATTCCGGAGGATTCCTCAGGGTTCCCGAGGTCGCAGAGGGTTCCGTCCGATTCCGAACATGATTACAAACGGTTCCAGAGGATGTCTTGGGCATCCCTCGGCGTTCGCTGTTATTCCGCAGGCGTCCTGGGGGTCAGTGGGCGTTCGCGCGGGATCCCGGAGACCCCCCGCATTTCCAAAAGGCTTTTCCGAATTCTAAGGGTGAGCGGGTAACGTATGGGTTCCGTCTTTTCTGCCCCTAGTGGCGCTTGGAACGGCGCGGGGCCGCGCGTGGGGGAGCGCGCTGGCGCTCGCTGGAGATGACACTTGTTGCGCCCACACGTTTGGATGGTGCTGCCTCGCCCGCGGCCGCTTGGGCCCTAGACGGAGCGTCGGCGATGTCGCATCACCCGCGTTTGCATGGGCTGGTTGTTTTGTCTGGTGTTGGCCTGGTTGTGATGTGATCGATTGATCGTGTCACGATTCCTTTCCATCTGTTCTGTCAATTTCCGACTCCGAGCTCGGCATGCTTTCCCGTGTTCTCAAGTTCCCGCTGCCTTAGGGTCCCTGAAGGAGTATTGTCGGCTCCTGACCGGTGCGCATTCGCATGCGCATGCTTAGATATTCCAATACCGTATTCAGAACATGTCCTGGTATCTGACGCGAACTGGGATGCCCCTCTATTCCGTAAGGTCCAGAGGGTCTCTACATAACGGGCTCGCGTGGCCCTTGCAGCGTTTCTGGGGATCTCCCAGGATACCCCAAGAACCCGAGCGAATCCTTGAAGGTGCCCTGAGGTCTCCAAGGATTCCTGATGACATTGGGGCCCGTGAAGGTTCGCATGGGCTTCTCAGGGGTAAGTCTGCCTTGCTGCGGCTCTGAGGGGTCAAAATGGTTTTCAGGAACATGGAGAGGGTGATATCTGCATGATCCAGGAGGATTCCTACGAATTCCTGGAAGCAGAGGTTCCCTCGTGACTCCCCAGGGCTCGAGTCGAGAAACGGTCCCTGCTGCTCAAAGTGCAGGAGTGCTTGTGAGAGTCGCGTTGGTCACTAGGGTGTCATGATAATCCTTGCTGGTTGCGCCACATACAACAGGGCTCGTGGAGCTGCCTCGACGCTGCTGGCGCATTCCAAGGGCCCGCGAGGACCTAAGGCTGAGGACGCATGAGGATAATTCAGGTTTTCTCAGAAGCGCCAGCTCCTCACGCTGGTGTCTTGCAGTTTTTGAAGGGGTGGCGATGCTCCCTGTCAGGATCTCGTAGCGTGCGGCGTGGTCCTGGCGTGCGTTTGTGCGTGCGTTCGCGCGCGGGCGTGTGGGTGCGCGCGTGCGTGCGTTTGAGTGTGCTTCTGCGCGTGACCGCGTGTGCGTGTGTGTGTGTGTGTGTGCGTGTGTTTGTGTGTGTGCGTGTGTGTGCGTGTGTTTGTTTGTGTGAGTGTGTGCGTGGGCCTGGCTGTGGGCCTGACTGCGCGCCACATGTTCTCCGGGGTTTCGCATTCCCACCGGGCCAGCGCACGTGGGCACGCGCGAGAGAAGCGTAACTTTCATCAGCGGGGAAATGGGTTTGGAAAAGCTGCGCAGCACCAAGGCCTCCGATTGCAGGGTGGTTCATTATTGCCGCGGGAAGCGCACTGGTTTCGTTCGCGCCACATTCTGCGCGCGTTGTCGGATTGGGCCCCCCGCTCGAACAGGAGCCCCCCCCCCTCGGGCTCCGACAGCCCGCGCCCATGCGGGTGGCGCCTGTATCTCCGCGCTTGCCCCCGCCCTCCTCCTCATTATAGGCTTGAGCGTGCAATGCTCATTCTTCAAAAAAGACCAAGAGAGGGGCAAATAGAAGCAGACGCACGGGAAACAAAAAAAACGTGAACGTCAATTCCAGGAGAATGTGTGACTTATCGGGGGTGGTTTGATTATTGCGTTTCTCCTGCCGGTGCGTGAGATGCATTATTCGTTGAACACGGGGCTCAAATGATTTGAGCGGCCACTTTCGGGCCTCCTCCCAGCCTCAGCAGCTGGTCGTTCACTGCGCAGTTTTTTTCCCGATCAAAGTGCAGTTCCGAGCCCCATCTTGTCTAACGCAGTCTACATGCTGACTAAGCAGCTCGCGCAGAGCAGGGTCCAGATGCGGCTGATGATGTGTCAGATCAAGCACATGGCAAAACGCAACAGGGATATGAGGGGTCGGATGGAGCACCTGCAGCAAGCGGCCGCTGAGGGTATCCAGATTGATAATCGAAACGCTGCGCGCGGTGAAGCTGCGATTCAGGTTGCGAACGACGGTTCGGGCTAAGTGGCAGGCCGAGGTGATCGCAGCCGCTCAGTGGCGTTAGGCCGAGTTCCCTTCTCGTTCCTCAGGCTGCGTGTGCAGCCTTATGCCGAGCTGCTCAGACTGATTTTCGGCTTTCAGTTCATAGCCAGCGTTCGGCGACCAGAAGGACTGACCGAACAGCGAAGGCCTCGAGGAACGCTTCATCATGTCTATGCATCCACATCCTCCCCCCTCCTTTTCTCTCGACCCATTCGCGCCCTCCTGTGGTGCACCACTTGAACATGTAGGTGCACTTAGCCCCCTCTGGTCATCTTCAGGCCCCTGCAAGCCCTCTATGCCCCCTAGGGAATTGCAGCGACATGGCGGTGCACTTGGGAGACCGATATCATCGTTAAGCTGTTAAACACAAACAAGCTGTAACCTTTAACTTGTAAATCCAAAACGAGAGCAATATCAGGACACGCATAATCACACATACAATCGCAAACCAGTTCACGACCGAGTGACCTCCCCCAAACACGTGCGTGCACGTCTGCGTCAATAGAGGCCCTTCGAAGTCGACCCCCTTGCCGGGGCACGCCGAAGCCCCGCGATGTTTCCGCGGCTAGGACACGACAAGCCAAAGTGCCACCAGACTGGACGCACTGCTTCCCTTCCTCTGGGCGGAGCCTCCTTACACCTCCGAAGCCGGAAACATCGCCAGACGGGCGCAGGCGCGACCCCAGATCAGGAACGCGCATGGTTGAGTGCCGGCTTGCCTAACCAGGGAATCACTTCCAAACTTTTCCTCGCGCGCCTGCGCTGCGTGCTCGAACTCCGCAGCTCGCCGCGTGCTGACCCCCGCGTGGAGATGTTTTGCGACTGCAGGGCGTTGGTTCGAGGCCCTCTGGCAAGAGTTTTTAGTTTTTAGTTTCCAGCCTCGACGATGCCCTTTTCCAAGCGCAAAGTTGCGCGCTCTGGCGATGATAGTGCCGGCCTTGGTAGCGGCTCTTTGCTGGCCGGCGGTGGATGGGCGAGCGCTGATGCGGCTCCCGGGGCCAAGGCGCCGAAGAGGACGGCTGCGCCAAAGGCTGGCGGCGGCCTCCTGACCGCAGCGTCGCGCGTCGGCAGCAGCAGGGGCTTAGGCGCTCGCGACAGGGGCGGGCCCCCAGCGGCCTCAGCAGCGGCGGTGGCTGACGGCGAGACCAGGTGCAGGCGTTGCTTGGTCGTGCGGCCTGAGCTCGGAGATGACGACGCTGCAGCGCAGCGGTGTTCCCAGGAGGCCCAGGGCGAGGGGGGCAAGTGCAGGGGCTGCGAGGCGGCCCATGAAACAGCGAAGCCAATGACGCGGCCCGACTTGTATCAAGCACCACGAGACACCAACGTTCAAGGAGGGCGCATCCAAGGCCGCGCGGGTGCACCGCGGAGAAGGAAAACCGCTATTCGCTGAGGATCGGGGCCGTCTCTGCGCCCCTTGGCCCACTCCCCCCGGCGCCTATATCGCGCCCGCGCCCCCGCCAGGGCGGCGGCGGTGGCGCGATCGGCGCAGGGGCTGTTTGCCTGGACTTCGGCTTCGCATAGGAGACCTTGACCGGGGCCAGAGGGGCGAGCACCATCCTGGAACGAACGGCACTGGCTCTCACCGCTGCCGACATGAAGGCCGCGCAGGTGCAGGATCCAGAGAAGACGTGCCCGACTGTGACCATTCCCAACCTGAAGGGCGCCCCAACCACGCGGTTCCTCGCCCAGGACCCGCGCGTGCCATTCCACGCGTTGTCTGCGAAGAGCGAGGTCTGCCATCAGAGCGCAAAGCAACTCGTGGACAGCACGTCCGTCCTCTTCGAGGGGCAGACCGCCCAGCAGCTGAACCGGTGCAGGAATGAACGTATGAACCAGACAGGTGCGGCAGCATTGCGCGGCAACATCCCTGCGTTGCCTGGCGCATCGGTGGATGGCCCGCTCAGGATAATGCCTGTCGGCCTCGGCGCAGCAGGGGGCGGCGGATTGGCCGCTGCGGCGGCGGCCGCGCTCGGTGGCAGTCATGACAATACTGGGCCAGGCTCAGTAGCAGCGCCCATGTTCTCCACGCCGCCTCCGTCCACATCGCCTGCCGCGAAGACGCTCCCCTTGGCAGGGGCGCCGCCCATTGCGTCGGCTGCGTCCTGGATGTTGCGAGCGCCTCAGGGCGGCCATGGCGATTGCAGCCGGTCTGGAGGCGAATCGCGTGGACTCGCAGAGAAGAAGTCTGGGGGTGATATTCGGAAGATGAATGCCCGCCAGACGGCTCAATGCTGGACTGGACATCGAGAGGCACGCTGACACTTCCGACGCTACGCGGAAGGAGCTGATCAACGCGTTGGACGCCAAGGTGAGGCTGGCAACAATAGCAGAAACCAGATCACCAGATCTGATTGCCACAGTTACCGACGAGGAGACGCACCGCGCGAACGTCCAGGCTCTCAAGAGTTTCGAGTGGCAGTGTGGCTGGCCTGCAGTTGTCGAGGTGGGCACGGTGAAAAGGCGGCTGCTCCTCTTGAGGGGCAACATTGAGGAGCCCCTCCAGTTCTTGCCGGCCATTGCGCCGTGGACCGCTGACGTGGACTCATTGATCTTCGACCCTCTCCAGCCGCTGCTGCGCGCCTGCTGGGGCGCTGAGGCGAAGAAGGCTTCGCTGTTCAGCTCCTTCTTCGCGCGCGACTTGGCCGGCCAATGGGTCGAGAAAGGCCAGGGCGAGATTCTCGAGGTCATGTCCCTCGCCGAGCAGGCAGCCGACCACCTGATCGCCAACCGGCAGGGCGCTGGGCTTAGCGAGTTGTTCACTGCAGCGCTTCTGGATGCCATTTCTTGCTTTCGAGCCGCGCGCTCCGTTTTGGCTCCGAAGATCACCTTCCAAGGCTTGAAGGATAAGATCATACGGGCTACCAATGAGATGGGCGAAGTGGCGAATAACCTCAGGACGCTCGCATCTTGGCCATGGCAGGGCGGCTCATCGTGAGGTTGGACTGCTACGTGGCACCAATGCTGGCGTTGTATATGGATTCGTCGGATGCCGTGCTCAAGCGCTCCACTGAGCTCCAGAGTGCTTGGTCTTCCGCAAAGGGCATAACGCAGGAGGCGATGGCCGCGCAGACTACGCACGATGAGTTGACATAATATCGAACTGCCTTCGGCATTCCCCGCCACCGTGCCAGCGCGGCTCACTGCAGCGCTGCAGCTGCTGGTGGTACCAGGCATGCGGAATGCGGCATGGGCGTGCTTGGGGACGTTTTGGGGCCTAATGTGCCGCGTCGGGGCACGATTGCGATGTCTTGGGGCTCTCTGGGTGATGCAAGACCTCTGTAAGTCCTCTGCGGGTGCTCTCGGGTCAGCTTGTCGTTGTCTTGGGGCCGTCTGGAAGCCGAGGCGACCTTTTGTTTCAGATCAAGTCCTGTGTGTGTGTGTGTGTGTGTGTGTGTGTGTGTGTGTGTGTGTGTGTGTGTGTGTGTGTGTGTGTGTGTGTGTGTGTGTGTGTGTGTGTGTGTGTGTGTGTGTGTGTGTGTGTGTGTGTTTTTGGGGGGGGGGGGGGGGGCGTCGTCTTCCGATGGTGCGAGCGACGGAGGTGGGGGGGAAGGAAGTCGGGGGTCCCAGGAAATGTTTGACTTTAACCAGACGACAGGCGCGTTCTAACGCGCCTCAGCGCGCCGATGGCACGGCGGCGGGGCTGGGCGTGATCGCGGAACGGATGATGACGCTGCGCAGCGATTATGTCGATGACTTGCACGAGCTGCTCATGGCCAAGATCGCTGACCACTGCGGCGCAGTTCTGGCCCCCCGTGGAGAGCAGGGCGACTGTGGCGAGATCCACGCGATTCCCCTTGCCAGCATCGCATCCACGAAGGGACAAGCATCGAATAGCTGGCCCCTGTCTGAGAAGTTCCCCCCCGTCGACGGCCAGCCAGGCCAAGGTGGAGGCGCTGCGTGGCCAGGGCGGGCGCGGCAAGGCGGCAGCCGCGATCGGGGCCAACGAGCACGTCGCCAAGCGAGCCGCCAACAAGCAGTATGACATCGATTCTGATATCATGCGGGGGCTTTACGGCGCAATCGGCCAGATGGGCCAGACGTCTATGGCTTCGTACGCTGACGAGATCAAGCAGTTCTGGGAGCTTGCACTTGAGAAGCTGTTTCGAAGGTACCGCTGCAGTCAACGTGCCCCGAATTTGATTGGCGCGCGCTTCTGTCGATGCTGAGCAGCTGTTCTCGGATGCCGATCCCGAGCGCGCCACGTGCATGGGGAAGAACCGAGCTGGCAAACGTGACTCCGCCTTCCGCCGCCTGCCCCTGGGACTCCTTGAGGTTCGTTTGGAGGGGTGGGCTCTGGCGGCCGTGGGTGATCTTAGCCGGGGGAGGGGGGGGGGGTCCCAGGGGTTTCTTAGACTTCTGGGGGGCTCGAGAGGGCCCCGAAGACTTCGCGCGGTGCACGCGTTCGCTCAAGAGGGCTCCGCGGGCGCCCCGAGAGGGGCCCAGGGTGGCCCCGAACGAACCCCAAGACATTCCGAAATGCGCGGCGACAGCGCTAACTCACGTGCAGCAAGGGGGTCCGGAGGCCCCGGGATGCCCCCCCAGGGGTGCCCCGAGAGAGGTCCAAGAGGTGCTTGATCTGGCCGCATGAGGCGTCCACGATGGTCCCGCGGGGGCATGCCGCCCTGGGCGGGCGCCAACAAAGTAAGCGCGCCAATTCCACTTTCTGGAGTGGGGTGGACAAACCTGCTCCAGAAGAGGGGTGGCCAGAAACCAATGGGAAACGCGCGAAAACATTTCCAGACTGAGGCGCAGACGTGCGAAATCAGCAAACATGTTCCAAAGGGGCATGAGGGGGGCTTCGCCAACACCCCAAGACACTTCCGAGAAAGAGAGCACGGCACACACCAACTGGTGTACCGTTTCCGCTGAGACGCGCGCCCTTTTGGAGCCCCCTGGCGGGCGTTCATGGGCCTCCTCGGAAGCGGCCTAGGGCCCTCTGGTGGCTCCGCGCCAGGCCCCAGGAAAGCTTCGAGATGTGTCCACGGGGGCCTGGGAGCGTTCCGAGAGGGCCGCCAATGGGGTCTCATGGCCCATGTGGCCCATGTGGGCTCCCTCTGGGACACCTTCTGAAGTTTTGATCGGGCATGGGTTGGGTATCTTTGACACACTTGTTTTGGCGTGTGCTTCGTTGCGTTGCGTTGCTTTGCGCTTCTATGGTTTGCTTT